GGAGGGGGAGGTAAGGAGATCTTCCAACCGTGCGTGTATGTTTATCTACTTCTTTTTTCCTAGCTAACCGCCGTGATAATTTGCCCCCGGGCAGCAGCTTTAAAATGAGTAGTAAGTTTTATTTGCACATCACGAACACTGAATCCGTAGATCACACCACTAAAATGTGCGAGTTTTCGGCCGGAACTTACGGGGGCCAAAGTTGCAATCAAGCTCTTCGAATCCAGACGGTGGTGCGAAGGGCATTCTTCCTTTCCAAATGAACCATTCGGGACGCGGTCTCCTCGTAGGCTTGTCGATTTGTTGGAACTGACGTGGAGGCCTCAAGCCGTGGTAGTTCTCCCGCTCAAAGTCCATGGACTCCAGAACCTCGAGTTAACCAACTGGGGGGTTGTGGATGCTGTCAAATCTTGCGGCCTGTCGATGAACAATGTTATTCCCCACGGTTCTAGAGAAGACTAAGCGGAGTAGAAATATGGGGTGTCCTACTGAGACGTCTCAGTTACACATTAATTGTCTGATGACGGAAGCCTGTACGCTTTTGAAACGTCAGGACGATAAAACAATGTTCCCGAGATCGCCTTATCTTCTCATTTATGTCCGGGGACGCGCATCTTCGCTTCTATTAGCAATATATATATATATCATTACTCTCACAGACTATTCGCAACTATAAGCAGCATGGGATGGGGTTCGAATCGAAGAAGTTTGAGTATGCCAACGCCTCGGTTAGCTTCGAATAATTTAATCATGTTCGAAGCTGTTAATTGGTTGCTCTTTTATAAGTACCTATCAAAACTGTACAGGGTTCTTCAATCAAAGCCACCAACGAACGAAGTCTTGCTAAGACCGCTAGCTTTGGTATAACCTGTACAGAGAGTTTTATTGTTGGCTTAGGCCAATAAACTGAGAGGCAAACAGAGCACCTTCCTTTGGTCTGGGACATTTCGTAGGCGACGCAAATGGTATCGTCTTCCTTTTGAGCCGGCTTTACGTCGCTAGCTGTACGTTTACCCGGCGTCGCTCTTCATCGTGTAGTGGAGTTGACGCCATCGCGACTGACAGGCTCGCGCTATGGGATACTCACACACGGCGAGTGAGAGCCCAACAATTGCACTGGTAGAGAACTGTCTAGAAGGCAAAAATTTCCGAGAGTTTTGAGTTTACACAGGGAACGGTAGAAACTACTAATCACGGGAGGATGAATTTGAGATCTGTTGGCTTTGACCAATCCTTTTAAAATTACCACTTCAAAGAGGATTTTTCTATTTAATGAGCTGACTCTCGGTTTAGTTGAAACACTTCCCCCTGATAAAACCATGAGAGACTCATGGTTTCACACGGCCCGACTTTCTAATGTTCCGTGGATTCTGGAAAGCCCTCATTGGATAGTGCCGCGCAGTTGGTCGTAACAGCCTTAGTCTCACAAAGACGAGTTCACGGGTAAAACAGTCATGTCCTTTTGGTAGACACGAAGCATAAAGAGATACCGAGATTTTACTGCTATCACCGGCTTAAGGGTCTTTAACTCGAAAGCGTTCTTTTTGTTTATTTTTAATTTTATCAGACGTTAATCGCTAACTTGGGGTAAATCAGTCAGACCGAAAGTTGGTATGAAAATTTGGGGTCGAAGCCCATCAGCGGCAGCGAGATAACCACGTGATATTCATTAAGCTGTCAGCAGTCCACCAGTGGTAAATACAGAGCTCACCGGATACATCATAGGCTCAATGGTTAGGGCGTTTGACGCTGATCAAAATGGTCGCGAGTTCGAGGCTCGGGCGGGACACCACTTGGGTCTGGGTATGACTGGCTGACGACGGCTAATAAGCCAGACATGGCCATTCTAGTCTCCCTTGTTTTTGCCGTCAATACTATCTGTACACTGCTACCAGCTGTTACGGCTGTCAGGGCCTCTGTCGAGGCCCAAGGTAGAGCTGGACAGATGAGTTCCGTTAGCGGTCAGGTGAAACTCCATCAAGGAATAACTACACACTCAGAACATGCCATAGTACTAATCATACGTGCACTACCTGCATATTTTCCCATTTCGAAATCCGACTTTTCTACGACGGTTAAGTATTTAAAAAACCTGCTTACTTCGAGTATGGTTCGATAATTTTGCTGATCCGATTGGTTTTGGCCCAGCTTGGATATCACTGAAAACCACCTTGACATCTCATGATAAGGCAAATTTCGTAGCTCAGTAGTTAGGGCGTTTGACTCAGATCGAAAAAGTCGCGAGTTCGAGGTTCGCGTGGGACAACACTTGGGTCTGGGGTGACTGGCTGACGACGGCTAATAAGCCAGAAATGGCCATTTCACTACTCTTTATTGTCTTTGCTGGCAATACTATCTGCCAATACTCCATATTGCCGGACACGTGTTCTAGCACTGCTTAACGCAGGTGCGAGGGGTTCGGCTCATCATTGGGACCCCCCAGCATTCCCCATGTGCTTCCTGACAGATACTCCAGTTTCGACATTTTTAAATTTTAACTTCCTCAGGAAATAGCTTGGATTAGATCAACATATTCGACGGTCTATAGGCGCAGACCAACAGCAGTCACAAGATACACCATATTGGCATCACAGGTACTAGCTAAAAGCTCAGACACGTGTTCCGCTGATATTCTATCACTGCATAGCGCAGGTGCGAGGGGTTCGGCTCATCCTTGGGACCCCCCAGCGTTCCCCGTGTGCTTCCTGGTAGCTACTCGAGTTTTGACCTTGCTGCTTTCTCATCTCCTCCGACGATAACTCGAATCTAAGTCAGTTGGAGTTAAGCTTCGCAGGCGCAGACCACTCTTTTCTACCCCACCCCACCCATCCACCCGCTAACCAAATAAACTCGTAACGGACACGGCTATCTATCACAGATACTATTAGACGCACACATTTTGATCATCCACTGCAGCGCTGATGGTGACGACGCACACCCATCGGCTTGACTTCCTGGTTTTAACTGTGCACTTGACTGAATTAGTAGTGCTGCACCTGTTTGTCGACTTGAATACACTCCGTACAGCACTAATTCTCGCATGCCAACTTTCACATGCCAGTGGATTAGTGCATATGCACAGATTAACTCTTTGTCAAGGCGACCGCCAATGGAGCCTTCGCGTGGCGGACGATGGCAAAGGGAACGATGAGAGAGTAGAGGGTTAGGGTAAGTGGAGCCGAGCTGTGTGTGTGTCTCGTAGCCCATTATTGGATCAGGAGTCCCCGCCGGAATCCAAACTGGTTATAGTTGGAAGACGAAGAACAGCCAAGACCTCGACTGGCTTGAGCCAAAGGTCCACGGGGGGTGAGTTGGGTGCCTGGCCGGGAACTGCAGGTGAATAGATGCTGACAGTCATG